TTTTTGATTGGAAATTTTTTTCTCAAAAAATGGCGGTGTAGCACAAAAAGTTCAGCGACTAAGTGACTTGCACTATATATAAAAAAAATTTTTTACCTAAAATATTCATAAGTTATTATGCAATGTGCTTCATCTATTACAAAGCGCAGCCCTTTTGTTTCATATATTCTTTTCAACATTGCTCTAAAGCTTGGATTTAAGTCAAATTTTTCAGCAGTAGCAAAAAGAATTTTAGTGAACCCTGCTGCAATTTCTTCAAATACTTTAGACTGATATTCCAAAGACTGCCCTGTTTTAGAATATATCCCAGCACAATTAATTCCAGCATGAATAGCTTCGACCTAATAAGATAAAATAATTAGTTTATATTCATATCTTTTTTCAATATAAAATGTACAAAACTAATATTAATTTTTACCACTTGATCATCAATCAGGGCCTTCAATGGAGAAAATACTACAGTAAGTTCTTTCCCAATCAATGCAGAAATAGAATAACATAATGTTTTACCTCCTCCAGTAGGTAATAGAATCATTGTATCATTATTAGCCACAAATGACCTAATACCTTCCTCTTGACATTCTCTAAATGTTTGATACTGATAGATGGTGGAGAGTGCAGATTGTATCTTATCAGTATTTTGAAATGATTCTATTGTTGAAAATTCAGTTATGTCAGTTGTTAAAGGCAAATTGTAAAACATATTATTTTCAAAATAAAAGGTGCAGGTTTTACAAAATCCTCTAGAAGAGAACTTAGGAAAACTACAACAAGAGGTGCATTTATTTATTGTTTTAAAATCCTGGATCAAGTGAGCAAATGAAGGTCTGAAATTTTCTTGTACAATTCTTGAATGAAACCTCATGCCATAAGGTACCAGATCTTGATCATAGTCAAAGGCTTCTAATTGTTGTTTTTGTTCTATAATTTTATTTTCTCTTTCAATATTTCTTATGTGAATATTTTTCAAATTTCTAAATCTTTGAACATCGTGTGCAAGAGCAATTTTTTCTATATTCTTAATATCATTTTCTGAAAGAGATGGAAGTCCCTTAATTTTTCTGGTAATCTTAATAAATTCTAATAAACCTTCATTATGGTCCAAAATAGCAACAGCATGACGTGCTTTAAATGATGCCCAAAAATCAATCTTTTTATCTAAAGTTTTTAATTTTCTTCGATTTAGTGACTCATTATAAGAAGTTCTGATTTCTGTCACAAAACTTTGTTGTGTAGGAGAGGCAAACCATTTTTGCAACATTTTTTTAAAGTCTTCTTTTTCTGAATTATTATATTTTAGTAAATTAGGTTCAACTAATTCTAAATCAGGATTATCTTTCAACCAGCATACTTCTGACCAACACAAAGAGTGATCTCCAGAAAGGTGTGAAACTAAACCATTCATTTGCACATTCTTCAATTCTTCTTCTGTTGGAGTTATCATTTCCTTTGATGCTTTTCTTGCAGAAGCAAGCATATACACAACTATAAAAGTATTTCTTTTAATTATCTTTCCTCTGATGATTTTAGTTGCATGTTTTAATCACCATACACTTTATTAACCACTCTTTCCGTTTTTAATGCTTTGTTGCTATCTAAATCTCCATCAACATCTATATCTAATAATATATTTTCTTTGTCTAAAATAGATGTTATTTTCTCTAAACAGGCAATCAAAATGGTGTTCCATCTGTCTACTAGCTTTATCAAAATTTCCCTTATGAACTTCATGAAACTTTGATGAATCTTGATTTCTCAATTACATGAAATACAACAACTGGTTTTGATGAATAGCCTGACAGTTCACATTGGAAAATAAATTCCCCAGTTGCTTGGTTAGCATTTCTAACATGAGACCAAGAAACATCAAAGCTCACTGGTAAAATATTTTTATTATTCTCTTTCAAGCTTTTAATGGTAGCTTGTGCTCAAAAAAGTTTCACATTGTTGTCTATTTATCCCTGATAATAAACTACCACCAGCTACTAGAACAGATGTACTTGCCTTTGGTGTATCATTAGAAAATTCAGAAATGTTATTACAGCATCCACAACATATAATGGTGTTTACCGAAAAACCTACATTGTTGATTACACAATTTTTATTATCAATTGAAATATCACCACAATTATGGCAAGATTGTGATAATAGTGGACTGACATAATTACAAGTATCAACCATTATTGTAGAACCCACTTGTGATGAATTGATTGCCTGAGTAGCTAATTCTTTGATTTTAACTGTCTTTCATTATCTAATGTATTCTTTTCACTCAATTTTCTTGTAGTTTGGCGACAGTTTCCATAGCATGCCTATATATTTTTTTTTTTCTTGATGAAACAAACGATCTCTCTCCCTGAATTTGACAAGAGCAGCCTGTGCTTCTGTTGGAGTAACATTTATACCCTTACTCTTAATAATAATTCCTTCTTTGATATTGGTTTGATTTTCGTTAATATTATTATCATTTTCTACTCCTGATTCAATTTCTTTGATAAGTTGGTCACCTTTCCTTTTCATTGCATTAATTAATGTATTTGTTTTTTTTGTTGCAGTTTGAATTTGTTTACAATCATTAAATATAGAGGGATAGTGGTGGCATATCTTATTACGAAGAAATTCAACATTTTCTTTAATATTCAAACCAAGAAGATTAGGTGTAGACCATTTGCCCTTTCTTTTTTTTTGTATATAATCATTGAAGGTGTTGAAAAAATGTGTACCCGAGTAAGAATGTTCTTCTGATGTTAAAGTGCTATCATTGCCATAATCATACCAAGCAAAATACAAAAGATTCTGTTCATTTTTTTTAATAGTAAAACGAATATATGATCCTCCAATATTTGTAATAATTGAATATCCAGGAAGAATTGGTACATATGTTTTTTGATCTATGTCTATATCACATCCTTCAACTGTAAGTAAATTATAATAATTATTCTCTGGAGTCTCTGTAATTTGTAAGTTATTATGGTATTCCAATACTTCCAAATTTGAAGAATCATCCCGAATTAACCAGGTTCTATTAGGACGCCTTAACAGTTTATAATTAGAGTTATTATTACAAAGAGTATTATACCACTTACCATGTGAACTCATTAGAAGTAAATTTTTGAATATTATTATAACGCTAAAAATATAATTTTATTTTTATTAAATAGAAAATTTACTATTGTTATGTTTTACTAAGGTATCCGCAAATTGTCTTTAACTTTACAAGCTTTTTTTGAAATAACCTTCTAACAACAAAAATTTTTTTTTATTACTATATGATTGGATACATGCTGAAAATGGATTTCGTGATAATTTTCGTGTCATGAAAACTATTTTTTAGTGTAGCTATGTACGTGTCAAGTGATTTAAAAGTGGTTCGGGAATTATTTATCCTCGCCGATCATTATATAAAATCACATGACTACACTCTACCCTTAATGACACACTATTTTTGGTGTCACAATACTATAAAATCACATGACCCAAACGGTCAGTAAAGTAATCAATAGCTAAACCACTAGGATAACTATAAAAGAAAACAAATAATTCATTGTAAAATATATTGTATGTTTGCTATTATTAATTTAACATATGTTTTTTCTTTTTATTTATTAATAATTAGCATAACAAATTGTGACGCAGGTATAATCTGTGACGCAAGACATATAGTTGGTGACGTGAAGTATATTCTTACTATATATGTTATCAAAATTATGAATTGTATCACGCATAATTAAAAATTTCATGAATTATGCATTGCGTCATAATATTTCCCATTCCAAAGTTCAGTTGTTGCCACCAGTCGAGGCTCTGATCCTA